TATGTTTGATCCCAAACTGTGTATTTTCCTTTTATTATTGACGAGTGTGCAAGTGTCAATGTTCTGTCTAATTTTTGTTTGACAAGCTCCGTAACTGTACATTTTGTTAATGTATAATTTGTTAAAATAAAAGTTTTATCACAAGCAGTCTATCTATAGGCATAAAAGATCCGGAACCAGCACCAGAAGATCAACGGATATGCTGTAATTAATACGAGTTGCAACAAGTGTCGTTACTTCTCGAGTACTGTGTGGAGGAGCCCCATCTTGAAGATAAAACATACCTGCCCGAACTTGTAATGCCACATCGTTCAATAATTCAGGCAAACGGTTCTCCCAAAAGTCAGCATATTATGTTGGTCCATTTAGTCGCCATTCAAAGAAATAGGGACCCACAAGTACATCGCCTATTATGGTGCAATAGCTGGCGCCTTAAGATGGTACGGTACGAGATGAGGTTCCTACTTGCTGTGCGAGTCGTCGAGTACTAATTGTGGGGTCTTCGTCAAGACTTTCCAATACTGCATCTTCAACATTAACGTTCACTAGCTGACCACGTCCTTCTCCTCGAGGAATAACACTTCCCGTGTCTCGCAGCTGCTGAACGCACTGTAGGATTGTATTTCCACATGGGGGTGACGTTGTGGCCATTTTTCCCGGTACAACATAGCTGCGAGCGCATTTTCTCCGGCTGCATCATATACTAACACCATATCGACACGATCGGAAATAGTAAATGCAGTGTTTTCTCGGTTCATTGTAAAACTAGTTTGTGCACAAATTAAAAAATTAAGTAAAGTAAGAAATAAGAATATCGTTTTTAATGTAATCGGCACGCTATTCTTATTTTTTACGTCTTTATAAAAATTATACTGTCACTATCTTGGAATTACAAAATAAAAACTTTTGTCTTAAATCTTTCACTTTTTAACACTGATGGGGTCGATGGACGATGCTTAACATTTAATAATTAAGTAGTAAATTCAATACAAAATCAGTTGACTGTTTCGACAGTGTAACCTAACTTTCTTTTAGTATTAGATACTAGTATTAGATTATACCGACTTAAATTGTAAGGTTGCATCTCGGGCCGCATAAAAACATTTGCAAAGTTTTTAATAAATAACACAGGGTCTGACTTCATTTTCCTTGAATAAATAAACTTTAATTTACAAAAGAATCGCGAAGATAGAACTTTTTCATATAAGACTTTTCTATTACAAATGTCATCATCATCATCAGGAAACTGTAGTTCAATTTTTATAGATTATACTCGCCATACCCTGTATATTTAGTCTATCAGTTAGATCAGTGTCTGTTTTTTAAAAGTCCTTGCATTTATTTCCCGATATGTATGTTAAATCCACTATAGTCCAGACGGTATCTGTTTCAAAAAGCCATATTTGGGTGAATCGTATATCCACGGAGATTTTTGGCTTTTTGGCTTTCAAATATCACTAGAAATGAAAATTTTTCTATGCGCATAAAAAAAACGTGGGCTTAACTTTTGGCGGCACAATATGTTAAAAAAATTCGAAAAATGTCATATTTTTCTTCCTATTTAATTATGTATCTTTTCAAGAGTTGATTTTAGGCGAAAATGGAAGAGGAAAAAAATGTTTGTAATTAAATTTTTTACAAAACATGACTAGTTACAAATCGAATGAATCATGATTATTATGGTAAAAATCGAAAAAATCGCAAAAATGGGGTTAAAAAACAATACTTTTTAGGGAATTTTTTTGGGGTATTTAAATTGGGTATAGGACCTTTATACTTGGCTCAAGAAAACTTCATGTTATGTAGAATCATCACACCAAATTTCATCAAAATCGGTTCGATAGATTTTGCATAATAATTTTGCAATCCAGATTTTGAAAAAAAAATTGCAAATTTTCAAAATTTTGCACAGCAAAAACCAAGGCCCTTAGATACTTGAAAATTTAATCACATATAGAAGGGCTCTCAAGCTTTCAAACTTTTTTTGAAAAATTCGAATCCGTCAATTAGGAGAGCTCTGGCGCTTGTTTAAACATTGGTCGAATTTTTGTACTTATAAACAATTAGAACTTTGTGAATATTCAATCAAATCAAATTTTTTAAAGCAGGTTTTAAAAGTTCTTGGAAAGACGCTTCTTTAAAAAAAAACAGAACGATTGATCAATTAGTTACGTAGTTATAGCCGATTCAATTTCGAGCAGGCCGAAGCGGCCGCGCTCTCTGCTTCCCCCACCACCACCACCCGTACGATTTTATTGAATTTCTCGCTTGCATAAATAACTTTAAACACGTTTTAAAGTAGGTTGCCAATGAAGAAAAGTATTGTAATCTTAGACCTGGTAAGTACTCGGAATACCAAAGGTATTTTTCGAAAAATTAGCCCGGATGTCCCAGTACATTTAGTGTAAATGACGGTTAACTTTGATCGGCTATAACTACGTAACTAATTGACCTTTCGATCTGTTTTTTTTAAAGAAGCGTCTTTCCAAGAACTTTTAAAACCTGCTTTAAAAAATTTGATTTGATTGAATATTCACAGTTATTCTAATTGTAACAAGCGCCAGAGCTCTCCTAATTGACGGATTCGAATTTTTCAAAAAAAGTTTAAAAGCTTGAGATCCCTTCTATATGTGATTAAATTTTCAAGTATTTAAGGGCCTTGGTTTTTGCTGTGCAAAATTTTTAAAATTTGCAAAATTTTTTCAGAATCTGGATTGCAAAATTATTATGCAAATTCTATTGAACCGATTTTGATGAAATTTGGTGTGATGATTCTACATAACATGAAGTTTTCTTGAGCCAAGTATAAAGATCCTATACCCAATTTAAATACCCCAAAAAAAATTCCCTAAAAAGTATTGTTTTTTAAATCCATTTTTGCGATTTTTCGATTTTTACCATAATAATCATGATTCATTCGGTTTGTAACTAGTCATGTTTTGTAAAAAATTTAATTATAAACATTTTTTTGCTCTTCCATTTTCGCCTAAAATCAACTCTTGAAAAGATACATAATTAAACAGGAAGAAAAATGACATTTTTCGAATTTTTTTAACATATTATTGTGCCGCCAAAAGTAAAGCCCACCTTTTTTTAATGCGCATAGAAAAATTGATGACATTTGTGATATTTGAAAGCCAAAAAGCCAAAAATCTCCGTGGATATACGATTCACCCAAACCAAAACAGATACCGCCTAGTCTACTAGTTTTGTACAATAAAACAATTTATGAATTCAAGTTTTCTTTTTGGTTATCGACTTTTTGCTTACTTTTACTTACTGTACCCATTTCAAGAAAATTTATTAAGATATAACTTTTACAATAGCACTTTTGAATAAAGCAAAATTCCCTCAAATAATTACGTTGCATTTACTATGTCACAAGGAAATAATTTCACTAGTAACTACTGAAAATTAAGTTTCCTTTTTAACTCGATGTCATTTGAATTATCCAAAAATGAAATGGCTAAATATGTACCCTCTAATTAATTTCAATATAACCAAGCCTGAGATATAAGAACAGAGCAGGTACTATTCCTCTTCCTCTTTTTATTATCACAAATATTTTACTTTCATTTTCTTTTTTACCTGTCTGTATAAAAAAATTAGTAAATATTTAAGTTTTAGGAAATTTTATGGTGATATCAAAGAAAGTCGAGATTTCCATTTCGCTACTAAATTTCCTAAATACTCTTTTAACATTTTGAGAAAGGGGAAGAAATATTAAACGAAGTAACATAGCACTATAATGCTGTTTCTTAATAAAGAACTGAAATTTTAGTTCTCTGCTTTTCTAGATGAACAATGATTTCAATTTCACATAATTTTCCCTGCGAAATAATGTAATATTCAAAAAAATCCTTTCCATGGTCATCTGTCAAAGATTTTCTGACATCCTTTAGTAGATGAACATTATTATAAATGATAATACATGAGGTTACAAATGTTTTCTTTTTTTTTATTGAAGATAGAACTGGAAATTTTGCAAATCAAGTAAATAGATTTATTATTTTTTGCATTAATTAAATTAATTACAATAATATAAACAATAATAGAGTTATGCACATTATAACAAATTTATGTGTCAGAAAATCTGTTCGATGAAAGTTATCTGCTTACCTTGAAGAACTCGTTCCGTTTTGTAGCAAAACGAGAATTTCTGGATCTTTTGTTAAAAATTACATATTTTAATTATGTTCTTTCTAGTACCTAGTATTCAAATCTATACGTATTTAACTAAAAATATGTGGTTTGTGGATTTGTTGGGTTTGGCGATAAAGCATTGAATGGAATCGCGTCTTCATTGGCTAAAATATGATTTTATTGTTATAATTTACAGTTAACATTACAAAAAAGGGAGCATCTATACCACACTTGTCTATGTATTTTTAAAATTGTAGTTTATCTTTTCATAACCAACATTTACTGATTAAAAGCCATATTTAATTATACGTTGATACATAAAATATGTGATATATTTTTTTCAGTTTAAATAGATCGATGTCAAATATTCATTCAATTCTGTAGCTACCTTATAGATACATTACCAACTCAATTTTTTTCATAGCCTGAAACTCCAAATTTCAAACATTTTCAGACAATTACAAAATCCAATATTATTTGACAAATTCCAAAAAAAGTGCTTACCACAGTCTTCATAATAAACTGATGCGACCAAGGTTATTATACATCCAAACACCAACAAAATCAGCTTAACACCCATTCAGGAACGTTGATTCTTTAAGCACGGGAGAAGTCTAAGACAAATATTACCTAACAATTGAGAGTGTTTACTAATTTTATACCTTAAAAGTTATATCTTAAAGCGTAGTCCACTCTTATCAACGCATATATGCCGCGATGATTGAATCGATAGAATTAAGCCTGATTTACTAGGAAAACAACTAGTTTTGGAGAAGTATGCACCTGACATTATCACAATTAATCAAAACAGATACAATGATTATCTGGATGTGTCCTTGTTTATCTGACATCAACATGATATTAATAGATATACACTTCAGAGGTAGATTAAAACATTTATTTTTAGAATAAAGCACTTTGTCCTCTATTTGGTTACAATAAAAAATTTAAGTTACCAAATAATGGAATATGCTGCAAAGAAAGTGTTGCAGTTTCTTACATTGAACTCAACTTTGTTCACATTATTTAAATCAGTTGCTAACATAATATTTTAATAATCTGCTTAAAAATAATACTTTAATCTTACGGTCAATGTTATCAAAAGATAATTCGACAGATATTTGTAATACATTGTACCTTTATCAATATTCAATTTGTGTTGTATATTTATATAGTAACTTTCGATAATCTAATGTTGTTAGATAACATGTACCTAAATAATTGTGTAACGACACTGATAGTGACAATATGTAATTGAGTAGTGTATGAAGTACTTCCGAGGTTACCAATTTTGTACACAATTGAAATGGCATACCTAACATTATTGCGAAAAAAATAGTGCAAAAATAAATCAATTAGGTACATGAAAAAATTACGAGATACCTAGATAAAATTGGGGAAAAAATAATGCCTCTTTGAGTTTTAACCATCACCGCTGAAATTCAATTTTTATATCACTGTTAATGGAATAAGATAAATATCCCTCATGCATAATAAAAGTGATTTCATGTTTGAGCTTTATGTAATATGAAAAACCTGATAATGACTCATGTATGCAACAATTATTTTTATCTTAGTTTTACCTATTTCGTTGTACGTATCAAACTGTTATCTAATATTTAAGGATGCAACCTAGTACAAAATATATACAAAGTATGCTCAAAGTAATGCGGCCAATTGAAACAGCAGATAGAAAACATGAATCTGAAAACGCTCATTAAAATAATTAAAGATACAGAAGGCAGTGTTGGGTTTTGACTGAAAATTTTAGGTACATAATATTGAAAAAAATAAATAAATATAATTGGGCAGTTTTATTTTAAATCCATTTTTCCGCTTTTGTCCGAAATAAATTTTTCAATCAATTTTCCATTTTTTCACAATCTTTTAAGAAACACACAAAAAGCAATAGGAAAGTAACAATATTTTGCACCACATCTGAACAAATTAGGTTTATTAAGTAAAATAGAGCCGTGAATAGTTAGTATTTGGTTACGGTCGGACTAAACAGTGCACAAACTGCATAGTAAATATGCATTACTTCCACTCTATATTTCACTGCAGCACGACGGTAACCATAATCACCGCTGTAAACACTCTACAGATGTAGGAGCGAGCTATATGGAGTTGGGAGGCACGCGTACAGTGCCAAACAAACCGCTTATTTAATCAAAATTCTACAAGTGGCCCAAAAACTTCCAAATGGTATCACCTATCAAATAAAAAATAGTTGGCATTATTGCCCGTAAGAGGAAAAAGTTATGAACGGATATTATCACCATATATCAATTTTGTAGGAGTTGTAAGTTTTAAAAAACAGTGTATAACATCAAAATGTGTAGATTGAAAGCAATAGTCCACACACCAAAAATAATCGAAATTGAATAATACATATTCGAGTTATTCTGGGACACTCTGTATAATTATTTTTTTCTGAAAGAGAATCTAAAATGGCAGAAACAATTAGCAAAAAACATTTTTATACACTTCGATGACACATATCTTAAACTGGGGTGTAATTTAATGCGGGGCACGTAGCTCGTGGAATTGTGTTTTCCCATATAATCATTAGCTTAATCAATGGCACTTTTGCTTTTCGGAAGATGTACCATCAAATATTATTATCGATATCAAACAAGAGCATCTTTTTGTGTCTTTTAACATGGTCTTTCAGAAAACTGCATTTTTACCACTGTAAATCTGCAAAAGAAAGAAAATCTGTAAAGGAAAACATATGTTCATATATTAATATTGCTAAATATAATGTAGAGATATGTAATAAATGTCTTTTAATTCTGAGCAATCATTTTTGATATTAAGAAAAAACTTTTTTTGGTAGAGCCTTTTAAATTTTCGCGGATTGATGTATGTATCTTATAGAGTGTTTGATTATCAAAACAATTGATACTAAAATAGATAAGAGATATTGTATAGACAGATAACTAAAAAACATATTCTCATCAATCATTTGACTGTCGCTGCAGTTATTAAATTTTCAATATCTTGATAGCAAAAAATGATTGATCAAAAGTTATTAAAAAAAAAAACGTAGGGTTATATTTAATTTCCACGTTTTTTTTTTGTCTTAGGGAATCCTCAAGGGGTATATACCCTATAGATTTATACCTACTAAATATAAATTAAATAACACTTTAATACTGAAACTGGATTTCGGAAACAAATTAATGTTTTTGGCTTAGAATACATCATCTTGCGCTTCCCGATTTTTTATATCTATTATTATCATTACATTATTACATTTAGGAATTGCAAGTCATATTTATTATAAAAATATTAATAATTAGTCATGAGGTCATGCTACTACAAAGAAGTATATCGGGTGTCCGGTAAATAATGGATAACATTTTAACTGTGGACCTTACGGTCGTTCAGAAAATCGACGTTTGTCTTAGTACAAAGTAAAATTCGGATCACCCTGTATAAATATGTATTGGGATTAAAAGAGGTTATTATAACTTAAAAAAGTAAAGACGATCATTAATTTTAGTCAAAGTAAGTAAGGTGTATGTAGTGGATTAATTATTACCTATAGTGAGTTGAGGAATAAGTAATGTCCGTTTTTTCTAAATGTCATTCGAAAAAGGATTTATTGCTCTATCAGATGGTGTTTTTGATTGCTTCGTTAGATTTAATTCTTGTGAATTTTCATTCATTTGAACTGGAATGTCAAATTGACAAAAATTGATTATTTTCGGCGGCATTTTTAGTATTTAATCGAGACGGGGAAAACGCTAAAATCGATCAAATAGTTAAGCGCCAAAAAACAGGCAATAACTCGGCGAACAAGACCAGATCTTCCTCCTCGAATGACAATGTTGTGCATCTGGTGGGATTGGAAAGGGATTCTTTATTACGAACTCTTACTAAACAATCAAACTGTCAACGCGGAACTACTACAGTGACTCCATGTAACCATTCAACAAAAAGGACCTGATCGGCGATAAGACTTTGCAGCATGACAATTCGCGACCACTTATCGCCAATATGACCAAATTGTTATTCATGAGTTGACTTGAGAAGTTCTGCCCCACCCGCCTTACTTTCCCGATTTCGTGTGCCTTCTGATTTTCACCACTTCCGCTCTTTGTCAAACTCCTTAAGCGGTGTTTGTTTTAACAACAATGTGTTAAGAGCTTGGTTGCATGAGTTTTTCCAGTCCAAACCGGAGGATTACTACAGAAAAGGCACCAAGAAACTCAATACAAGATGTTAAATTTTCTGAATTATTTCGAAGTTTTCAAAATTTCCTTTTTATATTTTAATTTGAATGAGATTTGGACGATGAAGATTATGTAAAATAATACAAGCTGTAGTGTTAAAAAGTGGTAGACAGTTTTACCAGAGACGTGCATTCATGCTGTCACTAATAATTTTGTCATTTTGACATTTTGCTTTTCCACACCAGAGTTATGTAGACAGTTAAATGCATCTTGCGATGTTGGTTAAAAAAATAATTATTATTTAAATCTAACCGAATGCAACTACAAAAAATAGTGAACATTCGATCAACTTACTGAATTTGTTTTTGAAAATAGAGAGAAAAAAAAAGCACCCATTAGAGACAAAGTAATGAGACACAATTTTTGTAGGCAATTTTTGTTTTATTTTTGGATGACCAATTGCCCCGTCAGTGACGGAATATGGTTTTTGAAAAACCCTATATATTATACATTTTTTAATTTTAATTTGGTTGCTAGAGCATTTATGGTAGCTTCTTCTACAATACATAAATTTGCGATGAAAGAAACTATAAATTAATAAACGTACGGTAATTAAAAAACTAACAGTTATTTATTGAAATAATTTACATGTAAAATACTTAATCTATTTGTCTTGTTTAATAAAACTAATTTGTTATTCTAGCTGGCACTTCGAAACAGATCACATCTTGTCCATCTGGCTCGGTCAGTCCCCAGTGCACCACAGTTTTCACCTGAAACAGAGGGTAATTTGAAAATATTAATGTTAAATATCTTGAAAAGTTTATAAATTATTAATTCTATGCTTAGTACGTAAAATCAAACTTTTCCACATTATTGCCTAAAACAAAATATTGTAACGGTTATTACAAATTGCGTATGTTTACATTTTCGAGTGAGGAGATTGTATAAATGTGTAAATCTAGGCCAAAGAGCTTAAATCGTGTAAAATATAACATTTTTCCTGATAATAATTTTATTTCCATTTTGGTTGTAGGTTGGTCAAAATATATATTTGCTACAGAATTCATGAAAAAGTTAAAAGTCATTTAATTTATTCTACGCAAAATGACTTCTACTAATGTCAAATGACTGTCAGCAAAAAAAAGGCAACGGTGGCCACCACAAATGGTAATTTGGCCACTTCCAAATAATTTTTGCTACATTTGGGATTTGGGTAACATATTTTTCGTGTCTGTTATTTTAATGTGTTCTCCTGTGATGTACATTCCTAACAAGTTACGACTAAAGTTTCCAGTGTAATTACTAATTTTAAATTCATATTACAATGACCTGGTTGAGTACATTTATGTTTCACCCTATTGACGAAACTACTTTGGACATATTTTAGTGAAATCTGTAGTTTTTGCTGCTACTTAATAGAAACTATTAAGGACAAGTGACTTTAAAGGAGTAGTTTGTATGATTTTGAGTATATGTACGCTACTTCCTCTGTATGACAAATTTAAAACAATTTTGACTTTCTGGTAACTGTAGATCAAAACCTAAATGTATTTTTTTATCCACTGAGACATTTGTCTTAACACGAATTCTAAGTACAGCGTACAATTACTAATATTAGTGATATTTGTCACTGTCCATGTTAGTTGGGTTGCCGCTACTGAGATATTATGTACTGTCGTTACATCGAGGAGTTATGAGTTGCCTAGAATTCTTATTGAAATCGTACAATAAAAGCATGCGCTAAATATAATATTGCACAGTCTTTTATAAAAGCGAGTTTTTTAAACGGAAATTTATTAGCAAAACACATAATAATTTAATAATAGAAATTGCAGAAGCATGTAGAGCATGTGAGCGTGCAATTAAAATAAGGGACAATGAATATCAATGTCACATAAAATAACGTTTAAAGAATTTTTATCGTTGTCAGTAATGTTGAATATTTTAAAAATTGGTTAAAAGTAAAAATGCGCTCTCTTTTACTGCTGGAAGAAATGTGGCTTGTAATAAAGGTACGTTATAAATATTTCTGTCCTACAGGCATCTGACTGAAATGTTTATCATCATGTTAGTAGTAGGCAGTAGGCTTATGTATTTTTACAGGTAGTTGAAATATACGATTCCAAAAGCTTTATGAAGAATTGCAGAGATTTCAAAACTAAAATTGGCCAATACATACACTGATTATGCTTTTTAACAAACTTCGTCGATTTTCCTAATAAATTCATCAGGCGTTTATTATTTATTTTAAAATGGACTATGGGTTAAAAACTTCTACTGTAGTAGAAGGATACATAGTTGATTCATTTGGCAGTAAAATAAAATATTACAGACTATTATGTTAATGCTTTCCTAGTTATACTTAACTATCCCTTACATACACAGCAACAGTAACTAAATTAACCAAGCATTTAGATCCTTTCACTTACGTTTACTAGCGTACTGGCAATTAGAAAAAGTTACTTTCAGCAGAAGTATCAGGAAAAAAGTATTTTTATTCCAGTTCGTTTATGTCCTATACAAAAAAATTTATAATGGAGACGGTACAAATTATGTTACAACATTTACTTACATTGTGATTATTCTTATAATTATGAAATTATATTATCAAATTGCGGATTGTAGAATTGTAGATTGTAGAATTGTAGAAAATTGTTACGAGCAAAAAAATTTAATCAATAAGATTCGTTTGTAATGCAATAATTCTCAATGGCATATTTTTTTTAATTCATTTAAATTTAAAAAATTGTTAACATTTGTTAACATTCGTTAAGAGTCCATAGTGTTAACATATAAAAAAAGAACAATGTATGGTATTTAATAAAAGCAAATAATATAAATAACAGCAATTTGCAAAGTTCTACATTGGCGGTGGTTAAAAAAACAGAAAGAATGGTTAATGGTTTTGTTTGCCAAATACTGGTTAGGTATTTATGATTTTATCGATACTTTTTTATAAACTACTAATGGTATTTTTCGTCTTTTAAAAAAAATGTATAATATATAGGGTGTTTCAAAAACCATATTCCGTCACTGACGGGGCAATTTGTCATCCAAAAATAAAACAAAAATTGCCTACAAAAATTTTGTTTCATTACTTTGTTTCTAGTGGGTGCTTTTATTTTTCTCTCTTTTTTCAAAAACAAGTTCAGTAATTTGATTGAATGTTCACTATTTTTTGTAGTTGCATTCAGTTAGATTTAAGTAGTAATTAATTTTTTAACCAACATCACAAGATGCATTTAACTGTCTACATAACTGGTATGGAAAATCAAAACGTCAAAATGACAAAATTATTAGTGACAGCATGAATGCACGTCTCTGGTAAAACTGTCTACCTCTTTTTAACACTACAGCTTGTATTATTTTACATAATCTTCATCGTCCAAATCTCATTCAAATCCCTACTAATATTATAAATGTGAATGTAAGTTTGTTTGTTACGCTTTCACGCGAAAACTGTTTAACCGATCATCATGAAACTTTGTACACATATTCTTGGAGGTATTAGAAGTAACACAGGATACTTTTTATTAAAAAACATATTTTTTACGAAATATTTTCTATATTTATTTACCCGCGAGCGAAGCCTACTAATAATAATAATCCCTACTAATATTATAAATGTGAATGTAAGTTTGTTTGTTACGCTTTCACGCGAAAACTACTTAACCGATCATCATGAAACTTTGTACACATATTCTTGGAGGTATTAGAAGTAACATAGGATACTTTTTATTAAAAAAAAAATTTTTGCGAAAGATTTTCTATCACTCTGCGAGCGAAGCCGCGGGTAAAAGCTAGTTAAAATATAAAAAGGAAATTTTGAAAACATCGAAATAATTAAGAAAATTTATTTATTGAGTTCCTTGGTGCCTTTTCTGTAGTTCTGTAGTAATCCTCCGGTTTGGACTGGAAAAACTCATCCAACCAAGCTCTTAACTCATTGTTGTTAAAACAAACACCGCTTAAAGAGTTTGACAAAGAGCGGAAGAGGTGAAAATCAGAAGGCACACGAAATCGGGAAAGTAAGGCCAGTGGGGCAGAACTTCTCAAGTCAACTCACGAATGACTGTTTTGGTCATATTGGCGATAAGTGGTTACGAATTGTCATGCTGCAAAGTCTTATCTCTGATCAGTTCCTTTTTGTTAAATGGTTGCATGGAGTCACTGTAGTTGATGGACGTAGAGTTCCGCGTTGACAGTTCGATTGTTTAGTAAGAGTTCGTAATAAAGAATCCCTTTCCAATCCCACAAGATGCATAACATTGTCATTCGAGGAGGAAGTTCTGGTCTTGTTCGCCGAGTTATTGCCTGTTTTTTGGCGCTTAACCATTCTTTCCGCTGTTTCAAATTCACGTACAGTCACCATTTTTCATCTCCAGTGACAATACGATGAAGAAAACGTTCCTTATGACCAAGTGTTGATCGATGACGACAGAGAAAACTAGCACCAATTGCGGAGCGTTGATTCTTATTGTTTTCGTTCAAAACATATGGTACCCAAGTGCCGAGTTTTAGAACATTTTCCATTGAATGCAGGTGGTTTACTACTGTTATGGGATCACATCCCATCTCCTAAGCCAATTCCCTAGTCGATTGTCTTGGATTTTCGTGGAGTTGATTCAATTGCTTTTCATCAAATTCAACATTGCATAAGGAATGATCATGTCTTTAACGTTGAAATCATCTCCTTTGAAACTTGAAACCATAGATGGGCCGTTTGTTCATTCATCGCATCATCATATACGCACAAATTTCCGGAGCAGCTTGATCGAGTTTAGCGTTTTCCCCGTCTCGATTAAATACTAAAAGTGCCGCCGAAAATAATCAATTTTATCAATTTGACATTCTATTTCAAATGAATGAAAACTCACAAGAATTAAATCTAACGAAGCAATCAAAAACACAATCTGATAGAGCAATAAATCCTCTTTCGAATGACATGTATTTAATTTTCATGTGAATTTTTAAATTTGGAAAAAACGGACATTACTCAACCCACTATAGGTAATAATTAATCCAGTACTATACACCTTACTTACTTTGACTAAAATTAATGATCGTCTGTACTTTTTTAAGTCCCAATACATATTTATAGTAAATAACACAGCTGCACAAAAAAAATCGACTCGGGCCCAGAGCAGAGGTCAGATCATCTTTATTATACGTTTTTGGGTCGCTGAATCCGATTCCGAGGTCCATTTAACCCTATCACCTTAGGATTTTTCATAACCTCAAAAAAAGGATATTCTGAACAATTAAACCTTAAGACTCAAACTTCCAACGCTAAATCCAATTAACCAAATCCCATAAACATTTAACCCAATGATATCCCAACCTAATAAGCCCATGAACCCAAAGCCCAATAACCCTATAACCCCATTATTTTACTTTCATAAAACTTTTTTCTATTCCAGAAAATGTATTTATATTTTGTATTCCATTTGAAAAGTTCTTATATGTTAATAGTTTTATACTTACTAAACAAAATTCGTAAAATTAATCGTTCGATTACAGGGAAATTGGCGAACCGAAAGCTAGGCAGCTCGCGTGGCTGACTGACGATGACGGCGCCAATGCTTAGCCGACCAATTATGACAGCTCTAATTTATTATTGACTTTTTTGTACGTTTTTATAAATTTCATTAAGGCTTTAATAAACCAAGGATTACTATGTGAGGTACAGAATATTTCAATTTTCTTAAGATGTGGTATTTATAACGGAATAAAGAAAGATGTACACTTCTGAATGTCAGTTTTAATATTA